AGAACACCTACATAATATATACTTTCTTAACAGTACTGTTAATGGGACAAGCCCGCCACAACCTCCCAAAACCGCTGCAACTCCTGTAAGCCAGGATCTACAGTAGATACAACCATGAAACTTGAACACTGGAACATTGAAGTCCTTTTTTTTTTTACGTGTGGAAATCCTCATGGATACCCTTTGTCCAGACAATGAGCGTCAGACAGCAGGTTATGTCGGACTCATACCGACTAAAAGCACACAGTCAATTCCAAAAAAACAATAAGAGAGTCACTGGGTACTCGAATGAACGAACTCACCTGCGACACTCAAATTATGTTACTACCTCCTATTTTTTCTGAGTTAAATTCAATGGCGATTCCTACCGCGCCGCCTTTGTCTCCGAGTTGGGTCTATTCTTTCTCGATCTCTCTCTGCAGTTTCCTTCTGAAACATAACAGTTTCACAGAAGGTGACTACGGCATGCCAGGAACATTGAAGTCCTAAGAAGTCCTTCATAACAGTACTAAAAAAAAAAAAGGGTTCAAGTACTTCAGTGTTTGTTCTACGGAATTTTCAAGTAGACTCTGAACTATTGCTAATCGCTGACAATGTCGCCTGTCTTGAGTTAGAAAACTTATATCGGGTCTCGCAGAGAGCCGCGTAAAACGTTATCACAGAGAAACAACAGGCTTACAAGTTCCTTCTCTTATCTTTTATCTTTTGTCTAAACAACGTTCCGCCATGTTTATATACGTTTTCCCGCCCGAGTTGCTAGAACTTGCCATTTGTTAAATTAAAATGTTGCCCGACTTCCGATTCCTTTTTCAGTTTATTTTTCTTTATTTGCAGTCAGTATTTATTTACTGTGAGTTTTTTATGTCCCTTGGGTGTTTTTTGGTTCAACTGTTTATATTGATGTAATGTTCTGCTGTTCATTTTGTGTGTAGTGATTGAGCAGATGAACACAAGGGATTTTATGTTTTCTAACTATTAGTGGCTTATTTTTTGTAACTAGCAATTTGAGGAATTTTATTTGTAAAGACTCTAATTTATTAATAAAAGTTTTAAATGTTAGGCCATAGCTGTGAAGAGCATAACCCATCACTAATTCAACTGAAGATAAATACATGCATCTTAAAATATTTAATTGTAACTTAAATGATAAAACTTACTAAGCAATATCCTTAATTCATACTACAAATATAATTTACTAGCTACTTCAGCGCGGTTTCACTCGCTCTGCTCGGTGCCTATTAATCGTAGCGTAATATTTTATAACCTATAGCCTTCCTCGATTAATGGGCTATCTAACACAGAAAGATTTTTCTAATCGGACCAGTGGTTTGGGAGATTAGCGCGTTCAAACAAACAAACAAAACAAACTCTTCAGCTTCTTAGTATTATATTATAAATTAAGTATAGAATTGACAAGACCATGAAAAACTTTCCATCTATTTTAACACCGAGATACGTAACAGAATTAACAGCTTCAATGAGTTGTTACAATTTAACATAATATGATTAAGGAAGCAGTTATTCATGAGTTTTCAGTGGTGTAGGTTCAGGAGTAGAAATGGACAGGTGTGTGTATGGTGATCTGATGACTAGAAGTTTGGTGTTATCAGCGTTTAAAATGATTCCATTGTCATGTAACTATTTGACCACCCCATCAATGTCTCGTTGTATAGTGGTCCATATAAGCCATGGAAGTCATGTATTACTTTCGTTCTTGTCAAGAAAACGCATCAGCTGTCATTGGGTATAGGTAGTAATTTAGAGTTATCTCTTACAACGTGTGTTAGTTCTATAGGTACTGCCATACAGTGTACAGTTACCAATGATAAGGTCTCTTTGTCAACTAGATTTATGATTCCGATTGTAAAATGTAAGAAAATATGTACATGTCAAACAAAAATCAGTACATACGAAAATCATTCTTCCAACCAGTAATCTATCTTTCTGTTACAAAACTAAGAACATTTCCTTTGAAAATTTCGAGAGAAAATGTGGTTTTATTTACTCGATTCTCCTTTTGGTGAGAACGAACTATCGTGGAATGTGGTTTCTTTGCTAAAAAGGGAATGTTTGTATAATTAATTATTATTATAGTAACACTGAATTACGGAATATCATTGAGATGAGAGAGAATGTGGTATTAGAATTTTCCAATTAATAAAACCTAATAATTATCCGTAATAAATGGAAAGTGCCAATGATAGAAGTCTACATATTTTTATCATCATCATCATATCAGCCACAGGACGTCCACTGCTGAACATAGGTCTTCCCAATAACTTCCAGATAGGCCGGTTGGAACTTTGGAAGCGACCTGCATCCAGCGGCTCCCTGCTACCTTAATCAGGTCGTCTGTCCACCTTGCGAATGGACGTCCTGGACTACGCTACGCTTGCCGGTACGTGGCCTACTCGAGAACCTTTCTGCCGCAGCAGTCGTCGGCTCCTCGCGCTAGTGCCCTGCCCACTACCACTTCAACTTGCTAATTCGCTGCGCTATGGCGGCGACCTTTATTCGTTTGCGGATTTCCTCATTTTTTACCCATCCATCATCCATCCATCAACAGCCTATAAATGCCCACTGCTGAGCAAAGCCTCTTCTCACACGGAGAAGGTTAGAGCGTTAATCACCACGCTTGCTCAATGCGGGTTGGCGATTTCAAACTTATAATTAGAAATTATAAGTCCAGGTTTCCTCACGATGTTTTTCCTTCACCGTTTGTCAGTGGTGTCTAAATAATCTTAGAAAGTACATATAACTCGGAAAAAGTCACATTGGTACTTGCCGTTGGTAGGTTTCGAACCCGCACCCTCATGCATGAGAAGTGGGCGTCTTAAACCTCCGGGCCACCACACACTTTTTTACCCAATCTCGCAAAATAATTCCGAACATAGCCCTTTCCATAGCCCGCTGTACCATTGACCTTCAATTTCTTTATAAGGCCCACAGTGAGACACCACGTTTCAGTTCCATAGTTCATCACTGGTAACACACATTGATTATAGACTTTCGTCTTGAGGCACTGAGGTATGTTAGACGAGAAGATGTTGCGTAGTTTCCCAAAAGCGGCCCATCTAAGTTGGATTCGACGATTGACCTCCTTCTCGAAATTGGACCTACCTAGCTGGATCACTTGTCCCAGCGCCATATTTTCATAGCGCCGGAAAAAAACATTAACTGCAGCTAAATTGGTCGCTAAATCAATTAAAATAACGGCTTTCTTTAATCAAAATTTTTGTCTTATCTAGTGGGCAGGAAAATAGTTCCTCCTCCGAGTTCCAAAATGACTTCAACCTTCACAACGAAATAAAAAATGAAAAAAAAAACATCTTCATTCTGAACACATAACCATGAACTACATAGTGAAACGAAGGTTAACAAAACAGGTCACGTAAACACAACACTTTCACTTCTAAACTCATAACCCTCTGTTTACAGTGTCGGCCAAAAAATTACAAAGTACAAGCGCTACCTAAATAACTTCACGACAGGAGCTTGAATTAAAAGGGGCAACCGCGCGCGTGCCTAACTTTTTTACCCTTTCGTAGTAACCGGCACCTGTGTTGCTTAAATTATGTAAATACAATTTAATTCAAAGTCCTTTGTAATCTTTTACTTTCAAATTTTTGGGGAAATTGACTTATTTAGGCATATGAGGTTGTTTTGGATTCTTTTTTTTGTGTGTGCCGAATAAAGGTACGCTTTGTTATGGTGTGTGGGCTGTGGATGTTGCTAATGTGATTATGTGCGCGATTTCCTCATTTGTAATAAGGAAAGGAACAACATTTGGTTATTTTAGATGTTTTTATTAATATATTAATTACAAGTAGGTACCTATCTATACTATATGTGACTTATCTGATGACTAAAAATTCTTTCATCATCTCCATTAACAGCTTAAAACCTCGGGGCCGCCACGACCACACATGAAGTTTTCTTCGCTTGCGTTGTGCTTCGTCAAAGAAGTCAGGTTACCGGAGGTCCAATAATACTTCGGCAATCTCGGAATCTCTGAATCCCCAACAATCCCCAACTTTTTTATCCCAAAAGGGCGGTAACGCACTTGTAATGCCTCTGGTGTTCCGGGTGTGCATAGGCGACGCCAATTGCTTACCATCAGATGATCCGCAAGCTTGTTTAAGTATTCCCTAACTAGTTTTTAATTACAAAAATAATTTCATTATTACAACAGAAATCGTAACGCGAATTATACGAGTGTGTCGATAGTCTTTGGCTGCCTTTAAAAAATCACTGACTGATTTAATTCCGTACTAAGTTATCAAGTCTTGTTGATCTTGATTTAGACACTCCTGAACGTGTCATAAAACTCAAAATAAAAAAATAAAGTATCCTTGAAGTCTAGACGTATGCCACACGAGAAGCCTTACATGAGCTGCTAAAATACATAAAACAATTTATGTGCAGATCAATTTGTTCGTAAAATATTTTCTCCAACTGAACAAATATTGTTTCCATGAACCATTATCATTTGAGACAATGAAAAATGTAATTAATTATTAATGAAACTTCAGGGTTCAGTTAAGCCTAGCTTCACTGACGGATAGACTGAGAGACTATCATTTATTTTATATTTGTTGACGTTTCAAAGGTACCAAATTATGGTTTAATTAAAATAAATGCTTTGGAGTTTGAAGACCATATTTTTAAGACCGATAACAAACATATCTAACAACTAATCTCAGTAGTCCCTGTGCACCTAATGTATACCTTTGGGCTTCGTTATTGTCGTCCCTAATTATTAGAAAGATTCAAACTCATACGATTTCATTGTTTAATTGTAAACTCAAACAAGAATAAATTATGGTACTTATTCCTTTGTTCAATATAGGGGCTTGCCATCAATAATAATTTTATTTATTTTTCTGTACATACTCTGTGCCCGCGTCATTGTATGCTGGCGTAAAATGTAAAATTTAAACAAAATAGAGCTATCACCTGTGATAATAAAGATGGTATTTATTTAAATTAAAATATTTTCTGTTATTCGTCACAATTCAGTTGGAATTTTGACGAGCCGGTCCTGTTTTTCCAGCCGAAGATAAACAAAAAATAAGGTAATATTGTTTTAAAATACCTATGATGTATTTATTTTTGATGCATCTTCCATTATATTGAATGAACAATACCGATGTTGTTTGTAATAGCCTTGATTATATGAGTTTGTATGTACCTATATCAAAATTTCTTTTATTACGAAAATAATATAATCTTTTAACAAAATTAGTGCTGCCGACTGATTTTTTTTATTAAAAGGAAACGCCTATGATTAGGTAGTAAGTTTGCTAAGTGTTAGTCTTTTATAAAGTATCTTTTTAATAATTCATTTATCAACTAAAATATTATAAGACCTACATATCGTTGGAGATAGTGCAAATCTGCGGACTAGCATTGGATAATTCTGCGTTTCTGACAGATGCAGCTAATCAAATTTTCGAGGAATAGTCTCGTAAAATCTTAACTACCTTGACACGAGTTCATTTTGACTCATATTTAATATGTAAAAATTAGGTTCTTTATTGAATTAACTCGTCGAGTACCGGTTTTGTAGACACAATTATAGAACAATAGGTTGCGGTCACCGGTGACCACTTGGTGTTTGACAGTTTAATAATGTTATTAAGTTTTAACCTTACCCTGTAAAACTAGATCTATTGTAGATACGTGGCCATTACTTACGTATGGTAGATTTGTGTATTTGCACTATCCTGACGATAGTAGGTAATAATAACAAAATATTATGTCTAAAATAAGATACAATAAATTTAAAAATAAACAAAATGAATCAAAAAATAATCTTAATTATTTCAATACTTGTTTGATAAAATATATTTTAAAAATTCGGTGTAATATGATAAAATTATAAATTTTCACCCAAGAATTTGTATTACAATAATTAAAAATTCTCTAGAAATGATTAAAAATTCGAGCAAGGGGTCTCGGGTTCGATTCCCGGGTCGGGCAAAGTATTACTGGGTTTTAAAAAAAAACTCAGTAGTAGCACGGAGTCTGGAATTGTGCCCGGTATATGGCAATAGGCTCACCCCCCATGGGACTCGTAACATAAATAGTGAAAAGTGGGTGTTACATTGTACAGTGGCATAATGTGCACCTCTGCCTACCCCTTCGGGATAAAAGGCGTGATGTTATGTTATGTAAAAATTCTCTATTGTAAGACTTAATACAAATTATTTATTTGTTACAGATGTATCAAAGAGTTTTGGGAACTGTCGCTCTTATCTTAGTCATATTCAGATTGATCGTTGAAGCTTCTCATGGTAAGTTATTATGTCAAAGTAAAATGAATTTTGCGTCCATTGCGTAGGTAAAATTGGGTAGTTTCCATTGTAGCAAAATTATCACCACGCTTGCTCAATGCGTCAACAAAATCACTATAACGTTTCGTTAAAATTGTGATAAAAACTATTAAATAGTGGTTTCCAACAAACAGATACCATTTCCAGAGGTATAGATATGCTTTTTTTTGCCGTAGGTGCCTACGTTTATTCCGTTATGGTATATACAATTTTACATAGACATACTAGTATTATGTCCCGTTTCACTAAAATGTTTTCTTTTTAATTTCAGATGGACTGGATTCAGATAACAGCTACGATGCCTACGATACTTACCTAGTAAATCCTGATTCTTAAAATTATGAATAAATTTTTCTTTTAATAAACTTGCATTAATTTATTTTTACATTCTATGTGATATAATTATAATTACGTTGTAACAAATTACAGAGGTAGATAGGTTTGCCCAATCGTAAACCGAATATATACAGGTAAACGCTTAATTCCTTGCCTTGATTTATTATACGTCAACACTTTTTGATCAACATCTGTACAAATAATTAATTGACTATGAAAATTGTTCATTGCGTTGTTAATGCCTTTGAAAAGAATATTTCGACTACTTAGCTTAAGGTGCTCGGCAAGGTAAAGGTTATATATGTCGACTATCGAGTATCGTTATTTTAGAACAACGCCATCTGTTATCATTTGTCGGAAACGTCAAGCAGTGTGCTTGGGTGATGGTCGGTACGGGGCGTGGCATGTTGGCATTTTGAAAGGCGTCACTTTTGAGTTGGACACGAGGGTGAGCGGTTGTTCTGCCAGCCCGTACCGAACTTACCGCGTTTACGAAGAATCCGATGACGAAGTACCCCCAATGGGTGCATTTTCTCCGACATATATATATAACGTTATATCATATTGTGTAACATACTCTACAACATATCAAGTTACTACTACAAAATTGTTGTAATTTTTATAATTACTATCGTGAGACATACTAAATTAAGTAAAAACGCGGGTTACTCACGTGACTGAGTCAGCCCAGTGAGCTGCGCGACGTCGCCGCGACCGCGCACGCTGCTCATGAGGAAGAACCCCTCTGTGGTTCGAAACTAGTAGAGCTTTTCTCAGTATATTCACGTGAGTAACCCGCGTTTTTACTTAATTTGTTGTAATTTGTTTAAAAACAAATGTTAACTCAGTCTCTAACGTTATAAATCTGCTGTGTGGGAGCACCTTTACATTGAAAGTCTATTTAAACATATCGGGACCATTAGTTCCACAAAAATTATTTGCCAGAGTCTGTATTTCGTAAAGGGTATAACTTGGGAGTCTTCAAGGCCCGAGTGAATAGGTTGCTTATGGGACGATGTGCTCCATCGTAGACCGCATCAAACTCAAACTCAAACTCAAAAGCATTTATTTCAATTAAACCATAATTTGGTACTTTTGAAATGTCAACAAATAATAAATAAATAATAGTCTGTCAGTCTGTCCATCAGTGAAGCAAGGCGCTCGTTCCAAAATGACGATTCGAGTGGTGAAGAACGAGCAAGAAACTCCATTCGTTACTCTTTAAAAAAAAGTCATCATCGCTTGCCATCAGGCGTGATAGTGGCCCATCAAATATTTATAATAAAAAACACAGTACCTAATAATATCTCAATCCAGATAAATTGAACTTAAAATCCTCTGTCTTTTAGACCTCCTAGATCAACGTAATCACCCAATAATCCAGGAACACAGCACCAACAAATAACAATTAACCTACTTTCGTACGTCTCACGAAAATAAAATGCATCAAAAAATAAAATAGAGGCAAAATGTCGCACGCGTTTTTACCGTTCCATACTTTCAATATTGCACCGTGATGAAAATGCCGGGACTCTGAAAGAATTCCGAGTTTTCCGTTAATATTGTACGCAACCGTAGTATCGTAATACTCATGATATTATTATAAAAATACGTAGAATCGTATCATTTTATTTGGACAAGTTGGTAGACGTTAGGAATGTAATATTTTTCCGAGTTTTTATAACTGTTGCTGAGGTGAGAATCCAGTGTGTTGTGGTGGATTCTTCGTTGCTATAAATTGAATGAATAATATCATTATGTCTTTTATCCCCAAAGGGGTATGCAGCGGTGCACATTACGCCACTTAATGCTACTGTACAATGTAACACCCACTGTTCACTCTTTATGTTATGAGCCCCATGTAATAAGGGATGAGCCTATTATCATATACCGGGAACAATTCCAGAGTCCGTGCTACCACTTTCATTTTTTTAAAAACCCAGTTGTACTTTGCTCGCCCCGAGATCTCGAACTGGAGACCCCTTGCCCGGCAGGCGAGACCACTCGGCCAACGAGGCGGTCGAAAATTGATGAAATAAAATGTTTGCATATTTGAATGTTACACAATAACTTTGTTTTTATAATAAGTATCATGAGACATACTAAAATAACTAAAAAAATCGCGGGAATATACTGAGAAAAGCTCTACTAATTTCGACGTTTGACCACCATCTCGCCTGGTGGTAAGCGATGATGTGGCCGACGATGGAGCATTCCTACCTATGAGCAACCTGTTCACTCGGGACTTGAAGCCATCCAAGTTATATTTGACGGGAAACACAGAGTCTGTGTTTGCAAGGACTTCCATCCCTTAGCGATTCGCATGAGGAAGCTTGACTCGAAACGCTTCGTGCGAATGGGTGGAATGTCCACCATATAAGGGTGGCGCCTTACCGTTCGTCTGGTGGTACGGCGGTGAAATGGACTAGGGGAATAAGGTCGTGCAATTCCCATGAATACTAATAATAGCAGCGCAACAGTCGCCGCGTCGCGGGTCGCGAAATGTTGCTCATGAATATGAGCCTCTAGCATGGCTTGAAACTAGTCGAGTTCCTCGTCAAATTACTACGTGAGTAAGCCGAAAACATAATAATTTATTTAGTTTGTCTCACGAAAGTTACAATACAAAAACTAATAAAAGCGTTTTCCATAAAGTTTAGGCAATACATCGCATTCAATTATCGCTTTAACCGGATGACTAACCTAAGCCCCGCCTGGCTACAATGTTAACAGTAAAATAGTTTCCACTCCGAGTTAGATCGACTGACGTTTCGATGTTTCGGCAATCCCGAGCCGGATTTGAAAATTTGAATGAATAAAAAACTCGGTATCAGTTTTTTTATGCGTTTTTTTCCGTTTTCAATTTTTATAAGTCCTTACCTTATTGTTTTCGGTTCGTATTCCAGTGTGCCATTCAATATTGGTTTATTTGAGTAGTGTCAATAGTTTACGATTGATAGAACTGTAAAAGGATTTTTTTTCAAGCAAAGAATAGTATTCTGTTTTTGTCTGTATTGATGAACGGCAGATAAATATGACGGCTGGTCACGAGGCACTTTTCGTTTTCGGTGCTATATTACTCAGAGAACTTTGAAAGATGTAACTAACTGCTAAAATCGAATAAAAATTATGATTAAAATTCCGTTTCTGCCGTGGCCAAAAATGTCCTAAGAGGACGAATACTTTGTTTATTCACCTTTCACATAGTAAGTTTCAAACAGACTGCCTCGTTGGCCAAGTAGTCGTAAGTGCGACTGCCGGGCAAGGGGTCTCGGGTTCGATTCTCGGGTCGGGCATAGTAAAAAGGTTTTAAAAAATTCTCAGTAGTAGCACGGAGTCTGGAAATGTGCCCGGTAAATAGCAATAGGCTTACCCCCTATTACATGGGAATAAGATAAATAATTAAAAGTGGGTGTTACATTGTACGGTGGCATAAGGTGCACCTCTGCCTACCCCTTCGGGGATAAAAGGCGTGATGTTATGTTATTTTATGTCAAACAGTAAGTACCAAATACTTCAACGATTAACTACTTCCAATACATACAAAATTGAACCGAAAATCCATCAAAAAATAAACTCGACAATCGGACGCGTGCAATTATTCAAAACGAGCTTATGATGAGAACGAGTGTGCTCAATAATTTCACGATATTATGCCGTACAGACAGCATCTATCATTCACATCATTGATCGACAAAGAGCCCTTTTGAATTCCGCTTTTGAACTGGAAATGACTTTTACGCATTGCGGTACAAGCGTATCTCGTATACAGAAAGGATTGACATAATTATTTCCATGTTTTTTATTAATGTCAACTTGAGAAGGGTTCAAAAATGTCAATAAGTGAACTCATTTTTTGTGTTCACCGTGTTTTATTTGTTGGGCACGTGTAATGAAGGTAGACTTGGTTCTTGACTCGAGTTTGCATTGATAGAATACGGTCTAGTCAGATCCATAGAGCAGTTGCTTGGATATTGGCTAATGGAATGTCAGTTTCCACACAGATCTAATGTTTGTATGATAAAATAATGCTATTAGTCATTGAGAAGATAAAGCGATAAAGGTATGCTATAATCATGTCATATGGTGGTCTATTCTCCCAGGCTACCTTAATCGAAGTGACAGTCTGTTATATTGATACCTAAAAAAAATTATACCACTTTTTAACTAAAATTGCGGGCTACTCACGTGATTATACAGAGAAAAGCTAGAGCTTTTCTCTTAACTATAATCTAGTAGACTAGATTATAGTTAACTTAGTATGTCTCACGATAGTTATTATAACAATATACCACTATTTGTTTTTTTAAGATTTGTTTTGTAAATACGTCGTTTCATTACACATCATTACTTTACTACGTAACAGAGTACGCAGTAAGAAATGAACTCAGATCTAAATAGAAATACAAAATTTACAACGTACAAACACATTACGTACTCTATAAGGATGTAGATACACGATTTTTTCATCAACTCATCAGCTTAATGCTTTACAAATTAGCTAACATACAACGATATACATAGGAACACGTGTAATATATTAAATAACATCATTTTGTATGAAACTCTTAGTCCGAAGCAACGTATTCGAAGATCAAAGCCATTCAAAAACATACTAATAGAACAGAGTAGAAAGAAAATTTACACTATTTGGAGGCCCCGGGCTCTTAGACGTTAGAGCTCCTTTAAAATTTATCATAACAACCTACGCTTAAGCACTTTGTATCAAGACGCCTACGTAAAGTGTGTATAAAAGTGAGAACAGAAGTTTAGTTTGAATCTTTTTTAATACTTATTTGGGAAAACGTAACTTAAGCGTATACTGATTGGAAATCTTTTTGTGTCTAAAGTTTGACGATATATTGCAACCAAACTTGAGAATAGCAGCCGAGAATTGGGGGTTATAGACATGGAATTACAATAACAACCAGTTTTTTATTCCTCTAATGAGCTAATACTAATAATTGCTAATAACTTAATTATTTATTAACCACGGAGAACTCAACGAATTACCGGGGCTCCA